AAGAGTGTAGGTGCAGATGCAATAAACTGCACATTTGCAAATAGCATATTTAAATCAACATATACACTATTTTTCAGAACTTAGAATCCAAAATAGTAACCATTTGAATTTAACTTAAAGTGATGATAAACCTCCACTATAACAAACATGATGCAGCTGGAATAAGAAAAATTCATAAGTAGCAGCCAAAATTATGAATTAAATAGGAGAATCTTATGCAGTGGATAGCTCAAATTTTAGATGTGGGAAACAACAACAGGAACAACAAGCCTTTATCCCCTTTATCCCACTAAGTAGAGCCTGAATTCCACTATGTGGGGTCGACTACATGAATCCTTTTTCTTCATTGTGTCTTATTTAGTGTCATATTTTCATTTCATAATAATAAATTAAGATTATTTTTTATACATTATTTTTTATACATTTATACAACATGCCCAAATATTTTTAGGTCTACCTCTACCTTTCTTAACATAAGTCGAATCTAAAGCACTACTCTCCTAACTAGATCATAAGATGGTCGACATTTAATGTGAACCATCTAAGATGATTCTCTCTAATCTTGCCTGCCACTGGAGCTACACCAACCCTTTCACGGATACATTCGTTCCACATTTTGTCTCTAAGTGTCAAGCCACTCATCCACCTAAGCATTCTCATCACAGCAACACTTAGTTTTATGCGTCTCTTTTAAAGGCAAACTTCTGCGCAAAAAATTCTCAAGCAACAAAAATGTATATTCTTTTTGCAATCTTACTCCCATTTGCAACTAAGTTAGCAAATCAATTCTGCAAATAAGCATGGGATTACATTTCCTGCTATTTTAATAAAAGAAAGAGGCTATGCTTGCTAATTTATTTAGGTAGTATGATAAGAAAAGAAGGACAAACCACTAATTTAGATTGTTGTCATGACAACTTCAAGGAATATCCGACTACAAATAGATGAAGGAAAACAATAAAAACAATGACACAAAATCTGACAGTTCACACCTGGCCTAACTTTATGTAGGTTGCTCCCATCCTTTCAAAGAGTTTCCGTAAATAAAGAGGAGAAACCAATCCAAGCTGAATTTGAGTTGGCAATCCGGCTGAGCTGTTTGCAGTCTGCAATAAATCAAAACAGAAGGTATTTATCATTAGGATTGCAATTATCTTGAACTGGAGAATATCCAATATTAAAAATCAAATCCTAGAAGCACTGAGGCTTATAAATTATCAAGCCAATATTTGATGTCAATAAAATGAATTCTCCAAGAAAATGAAAAAACAAACATGGTTCAGCCAAAAGTTCCCATACCATGTGACAGTTAAAGGTGCATAAAGCAGAATTTTTAATAAGGGAAAAAGAAAAAAAAAAAGAATGAAAGGTGACACGACCCGCAATTATGCAGTAATTTAGCTTCCAAAAGATAATAAAAAACTTGACCCGAATTTATATTAGCGGCTAGTGTGCAAAATCAAAATTTTATAAAATTTAGTAAATAGTTTACACACTAAGGATACTACGTAAGTATACTTATCGTTTCAAATAATATAGGGTTTTCTTTAAAGACCCCAGTATCGATCCCACAAAAAAACGAAGTAAGAAAGCACTTAGACAAAATCCTAGTCTACTACTATAAAGTCTAGGTTGAAAAGACAATTAAGATGGTGTTTTATCTAGCAACTACTTCTAAATGCAAATATTAAACGTAAGGATAACAACTATTCCTAGAAGCAAATATCAATTATAAAGATAACTTATCTGGATAAATTGGTTTGGAAAATTTTGAGATGTTAAAGACTACCCTTCTCGTGTGTTGACCTAGATAATGTATAGGAATGAAATGCTTAAAATATAATGTTGTGGCGACAAATAAGAGTACATCTATTATTTACTTCTCTTGATTGTGTAAAGAACATTGGTTAATCTAAAGCTGGTGTCGGCAGCGCTGGGTAGGTTCTAGTCTCTCACTCCTAGATTACCCAATGTGCCCTCTCTATAGGACCTATCAATGACCCTTAATTCCAATCTCTGAACCAAATTGATAAAAGAATTTAATCTGTCACTCTAGAAACATCAATCTACACCCATCAAATCTTATCTCCCTATTTATTTGCACTTCCCCTCGAACGATCGCCACTGCTCTTTCCAAAGTGAAATGTGGTATCACTAGTTTGATAAATCTTAGCCCTCTCGATCTATAACTTTCTCAACAAATTTTAACAATACAAGTGATCAGTTTGCAAAGTAAATTAAAATGCGAAAAAAATATCATCACATTTATGAAATAAAAGAATTTCTAAGAAAATCTAAATTCCTAAACATGTATTCAAGTCATTGCAAAAGAAAAGTAAAATGAAGATAATGGAATAAACAATAAAAGAATTGATAGAATTATATAATAAACAAAGTGTCAACAAGAAACATATGTCTACCTACCCACTTTCGAGCATATAGGTATGCTTCATATATGTATGCTTAGTATTCTATTAATTTTATGCAACTATCTATCACCTAGAAGCTTCTAATAGTAACATATCATAAATTATATTTTCTTAAAAGTTTAATTGCCGCCTATACTATTTCGCAATAGCCAACCGGACAACGTGAGTGCACTTTAGTTGTGAGATCACCGCTCTCCCGAGTCTTAATTTCACTTACAACAGATTTTAACATAATTTATTTTCACTTAAGTTATGTCAATTAAACGAAGGAGATATTACTCATCACATTAAAATAAAAACAATTCTATCATAAAACAAATTTTCCAACACATGCCACTACTTCATATTAAAAGAAAAGAGTAAAGAAAACTACTTACGAAGCATGGGTAAAACACGACAGAAAACTTCATTTAAATCAAAGAAAACCCACGAGAGAAAGTGTTTACAACAATTACAAGATAATGAAGAACAAAATACTTAAATTTTTCTCTCTGAAAGAAAGGCGAAAAAATCTCTCCAACAAAATCTTTTTCCGATCCATACACCACTCATACTTCTTTAATCATATCTCTCAAAATCTCACACCAATCTCTCCAGAAAATGGAGAAATCTACATCTCCATAAACCACTGTCGGCGCTTAAATGTCTTTGTCACGTTAGGAAGGAAAGCACTGGGACTCACATCCAACCCAAGTGGTGACGGGAAAAATGTCTGCTACATTGAGGAGGAAAGCTCTGGGACTCACATCCAACCCAAGTGGTAGCGGGAAAATAT